CTGTCTGAGTCGTAAATCTCCCAGAGGTTCATACAATCCTTTATGGCACTTGAAGGCAAATTTCCATTCACTTCCCTCCTTGATTCTAATATTGTTATACGCCCATCTCCAATCCAGCTTAGCGTACCGAGTTCCACCCACTAAATCTTGTACTAATTTAGACAATGGTGGTAATGGGTATTGATCGTCCTTTGTACATTCATTCAGACCTCTAAAATCAATGCAAGGTCTTAGTTCCGTAGTCGAATCTCCTTTGGGTACAAAAGAATAGATATGAGGCTATTGGTGAGTTTGACAGTCGTGTCTTCCCGTTTTTCAACTCTTCATTTACCCATGTTTCCACTAAATCTAACTGATGTTTTGGAAGTTTGAATAAAGGTCAATTCTTTAGCATTACTGATGCGTCTTTGAAAGTGACGTCGAAGTCGCATCCCGGTTTGAAGTCTGGTAAATATGACTGACGCTCCATATCGAAAACTATTGGAAACTCGGACATGGGCCAAGTGGGAGATGGAAGTGACAAGCGGTCTTTATCGGTTATCTGAGGAGTCGTATTATGTACATTTATGGTAAACCTATGCGTCCTTGGGATTCGACTATGTTGAGTTGCGTCACTGGCATTTAGGGTTCATTTCTTCCAATCAGTTAAAGGGTTGTTTCGAGTCAACCAGTCCAGACCCAATACTAAACCATAGTCCCTGGTTTCTAATACAGGCAGTTTGACTTCTTCCTTGAATGCTCCTACAGCAAAGTGTAACTTGTTGGTTTGACGAGTAAGGTGGACTTTCGTTTTACCATCACCCAACGTCATTGGAATGGACTCAGGCAAATAATCAGTTTCAATTCTATGTTTGATCTACGAAGCCTCGACCTATCATGGTCTTATTAGCACCTGAATCCACCAGAGCTAATCCTTTTGCGGCCCTGTTATCTTTGCTCTTGACTGAGAACTCAGTGAGGAAGAGGGAGGTACGACGTTGGTTTGATACGCTTTTACGCAATCGTTGACGGCTCATGTTCAGACGTGATAAATAGGCGGATTCTTCAGTTGTATTGAATTCAGTATCTGCTTCTGACAATCCATCATCATCGTCACTATCTACGGTATTGAAGCGTGTTTGACGTTGATGAGTTAATTCTTGTTGAGCTGATGACCTTTGATTATTATTGGCTACTGTTGGTGGACGACGATTTGCTGGTGGTACTTTTATATCGTCTGACGGATCATTGGTAGAATTGAAACGACCGTGTAGTTTGACAGATTTGTCATAGTTCTCCTTTCCACTAGCTGTACTGGGGTATGTGCTACACTTATCTGCCTTGTGGTCGGTCATTCCGCATCGTGTACACCATCCTTTCCTAGCTCGATATTTGTATGTGGGAGTGTCTGGGTTTGAGGTAAATATACCAGGTTTAGTGGGATCAGACGATACGTATGGTGCTTGACTTCCAGGAATATAGGGGTTACGGGATGATGATGGGCGACTAAGGGGGGTCACGTTTTGACGTCCCTTGACAGATTGGAGTAGTTTGAAGTTTTCTATGGATTGGCGAATAGACTCCACTATTTCTGTAAACATAGTTGGTCGAGCTCCTGCTACATGCCAATTGTTGATGGTTTGATAATTGAGTCCTCTCAAAAAGACTTCGATCTGCTGGTCAATGTTATACCCAGCCTTTTGACAAAGGTTCATGAAGTGAATGGCATATTCGTTGAATTCCGTATTTTTCTGCTTGCTTTCTATAACATCCTTTCGATAGTTTGACACTTCCATGGGATCCTTAAAAGTAGCGTCCATATCCGTCCAGAATTGAGCATAACTACAGGCTGTAACATGATTCACTGTGTGCATATCTACCCATAATCTGTACCAAGTATGTGCAGCTCCAGTCAAAAGAGAACCTAAATATAGGACCTTCTTGGCATCGGTAGACATTGATGTTCGAACACTGATGACGTTCTTAACCTCGAATGACCAACGAGTATAGTCCTTCATATCACCACTAAATGATTCTGGTTCCTTGATCTTCATATCTTTGATTGATTTGCTCTGGCTCACGAAAGCAGTCCTAAACTATAACTGCATTGGGTGGACAACCTCATCTCTATATAGATACATATGGTGCTAACGATACACTCCCTCCCAAACCGTGAGTGCGTTACGACTGCTTTCACTCTCTCTCTCTCTCGCCGACACTCTTCTTTGCTCTGACTGCTGTTTGACTAAGTCAGGCACACCTAAGCTACTGACTTGACTGCTTTACGTGTTTCTCCCGCCATGAAATCAAGCTATTGAGTTTTTCTGCATTTTCCGAGGA